GCTTTGGAAATAACCTAATTTTAATTCATTTGTTAAAGTTCTTGTTAGATTAATTGTTAAATTGATCCGAAATGTAGTAAAGTAATTTATCAACAATTCCGGTATAAAGATATTGCATAATTTGCTTTGAAAATGTAAGTTATAGTGCAAATAACATTTGCATATTGTTGATATTGATATTCACCATCATTTTTTATAAGCGAGATATCAGCGGATCACCGAAATCCGAAAACGATTTGAATGATTGAATGTTCGTTTTGTTTCGGTCAGCGCATACATATTAATGAGAACGTCTGCATGGTTCCTCACGAATAGAAAACGCCGGATTCTGAAGAACCTGCCTGTCGTAACAAACACTTTTTGTTTCGGACAGAGCACCTCTCATCACCATAACGAAGCGGTATGTTACAGTTTGCGCGACAAGAATTTTAAATAATAATTTCCAACAGAAACATGACACAACCTACAAAAAAAAACAAGAAGACCGAGCGACTGCGATATTGCGTAACGACGATCTTGCAACTAGTGCAAAATTACGTAAAAAAAATATATACATGTGATTTATATGTAAAAATAACACGAATAAAAATTTAAATATACAATTTTTTTTGTTCAAACTCGACACGCGAAATTTATTGCTGCATTAATTGCATCGAAATCAATTAGTGCGAATCGGATGGCTTTTTTTGTATCTGTTTTATTTGTTTATTCATTTTTTATATATGTGATTATATATACGTATATAGATGTTTTTGTGAGTATATGTATGTTATTTATTATTCAGTTGTCACAACAAAGCCATAAATCCGACAAGAGTAACGGATGTGACGTGAGCAGTCGGAAGCAGCTTTATCCCCTGCGAGAATAGTTTCCACAATAAAATTCTTGTATTTCCAAAAGCGCTTCAACTATTTGTATATACAGGGTGTTCTTGTTACTCGATTATTTACAAGTACTTGTCAAGTAAAGAAACGTCACATCAATGACATTTGAGTAAACATTAATAAAAAAAACTGTCACCGAGCGTCTGACATAAATTGTGAATTATTCTATTTTTAAATTTTCCTCTTCATCAACATTTTCAAAATCTTGATAATGGTTCAATCAAGGAATAACTTAATATCATTTTTTTTATATTATTTTCCTCTTCTATTACAACTTTTGGCCATAATATGCTTGAAATTTCGTTATATCGAAGCTTATTGTAGAGAGAATATAGGATGAAATTTAATTGGCTAATATCCATAGTTTTCAATAACTTTTCAAATACATGTGGCTAAAATATGAACAACATTTCTATCAACTTTAGGAATACATCTCTTTGAATTGGGTAGTACCCAAAGTGTGTACGATCCTATATATAATACAAGTACTTGTAGAAGTTGTCAAAACAAACTATCATCAATATTATATTTGTTTTATACGTACTTTCAATATTTTTTCAAATACATGTATTTAGCCAAATCAACAAAATTTCTATCAACGTTAGGAATACATCTCTTTGAATTGGGAAGTATCCAAAGTGTGTACGATCCTATATATAATACAAGTACTTATAGAAGTTGTTAAAAAAACTATCATCAATATTATATTTGTTTTGTAAGATCTTTCAATAACTTTTCAAATAAAAGTATTTAGCTACATGGAAAAAAGGAAACTTAAGGAATGCATCGCTTTGAATTGGCTAGAATCCAAAGTGCGAGCACACCTTGTATTATATATAAGTACTTGTAGAAGTTGTCAAAACAAACTGTCATCAATATATTCTCAAATAAATGTATTTAGCTACTTCGATACGATTTTATACCAACTTAAGGAATACCGTCAACGTTATTGTATTTATTTTGCAAGTACTTTCAATGTCAAAAATTTATTTACTAACTTGAATATAATATTATAAATTGGATAGTATCGGATATATATCATTATATTTTAATAAATAAATATATAATAACTTGATACAAATTTTAGCAAATACGCATAGCGAGTTTCAGATTCTTAGAAATTGTATTATATAAAAAGCTTTGTGATTCCAAATTTGTGCATTAATTTTGCTTTATCTAAAACTGATTAATTAGATTAATTAAATAATTAATTAAGTTACTTTCCTTTTAGTTTAAAGAAAAATTGACATATCATGCGTCAGCGTCACGTCAAAATGTTACGTCAAATGGTTATATTATTAATGTTGTTCGCTAATTCTTGTTTATAACATCCTAATTGAAGATTTATTATGTAGATTTCATAATCATCAGATACAATACGAAATATAACTAGGTTTCTTACAAAATCTAGAATCAAATAAGTTTCTAAAATTATTATTTTAACTCTGTAGAATGTTTCAGAGATATGAACATCCAGTATACATTTATTTACATGATAATTAAGATAATCCAACATATTAAGTTGCACGAGACATCCACTACTTTGGGGATTAAGCTTTATGACCGAAGAATTTAATAAACTCCCGCTCGCCGTGAGCAAAATGCATGTAGCTAAGCGCATTATTAGAATAATAACAATATATAGCGTTCCGAAAGAACGGTAATCAAAGATTGATAAAAGTGACTTAATTTAATTAAAACGTTATTTGATTTTCACGAATCACGACAATCTCATTGTCATCGAATACTTTCGAATACTCTTCGATTATTCAATTGCAAACGGTGTCGCCTTGCCACCGAAAATTGAGTAAAATCATGTGTAATTAAAGTTTACCTTGTTATTGGAAAGTGCTTTAAACACAGAACAAAACGACAGCAATGAAAAAGAGGAATTCGAAACAAAGAAAAAAAAAATACGCCACGTAATATCGCAACATGAAGATTTTAACATTGAGACGCATTGTGTATAAAGGAGGCAATAACAAATCCGAAGGACGGGAGATACATTTTGGCCGGAAACTGTAGATACCGATCTGGATGTTTTGTAATTCGCTTCGATTGTTTGCTCTCGTTTTCTTCTCGATATTTTTTCCATCTGATTTATCGCCGGTGCCGGTTTGCTAAATCTTTTCGCCGGACGATAAATAATATCTAGCTAGCCTAGATCTGGTTTCAGGAGTAAAGTGCGACTCGGTAAATGCCATGCGAAGAGTCACTGCGAGTACACGCAATAGTTGCGGAATGAAAGCATATTATTTTTTATTTTTATTTTTTTGATAGAACTGGTTATTGACTTTGAATTTCGTACGGACCCCACCTTGGTTCTTCGTGACTTTCGTTTTCGTATATATACCGAAGGCTCACGCCTCCAAAATCATATTCACTCCGAATACAAACAAACACTTCTTACAGAAATGGCATTCAAGGTAATAATATCTTCGATGAGATTCGTCTCCATTGAGTTAACAACGTTTCTTTTGCAGCTTGTTGTATTGTGCGCCGCTTTGGCCGTCGCCAGCGCTGGTAACTTGGGATACTCCTATGGAGCCGCCCCATTGGCCTACTCTGCAGGATACACCCATGGAGTAGCCGCCCCATTGGCTTACTCTGCTGGATACGCTCACCAAGCCGCCCCAGTCGCCTATTCCGCTGGATACGCTCACCAAGCCGCCCCATTGGCTTACTCTCATGGAGTTGCCGCTCCAATCGCCTATTCCGCTGGATACTCTCACCAAGTCGCCCCAGTCGCCTACTCTTCCGCCCCAGCTGTATCTTACTCCAGCATCTCTGCTCCAGTCGCCACCTACGCCAAGACCATCGCCACCCCAGTAGCTTACTCTGCTGCTCCAGTCGCCTACTCCGCCCCAATCGTAGCTAAGACCATCTCCGCTCCAGTTGCCACTTCCTACTCTCACTCCACCGTCACCAAGTCCGTAGCTCCAGTAGCCACCTACGCTGCCGCCCCAGTCGCCGCCTACGCCAAGACCATCGCCGCCCCATTGCCTACTCTACCTACTCCGCCCAATTGCTCAAACCTACACCAGCCCGATCGTCGCCAAGACCATCGCCTCTCCCCTCGCTTACTCTGCCTACTCCGCCCCAGTAGTTGCCAAGACCGCTCATGTCTCCTACTCCTCCCCATCCATCGGCTACGCCACCAACTACGGGTGGTAATCAAATACCAAAAAACATAAGTCAATTATACAAATGTAAAAGAAAAATCTGTTCCATGTATTGAATAAATTACTGTTACACACATATATATGATATTATTTAATCAAAACAATCCTTATTACATTTTATATAGGTTAATTTTGTAAATTTGGTTGCATAAGTATATCGTTTTGAATTTCGCGGTTTATCAAGCGATCCTAGAAGGATCTGTTCAAGTGATTAAAACCAGATACTAAAGTGGTGCGTTCAAAACTCAGATCAATTAAAAAATGCAATTGTAATAGGAACGTAATAAAAACAATCTCAAATCAAGTAGGTTAAGAATATTTAATATAATAAAGGAAAGTAACGAATAAGCGTATTTCATTGGATAAACTAAATAAAATTTTTAAATATTAATTAATTGTATCAAATCCCAAGCTTGAGATTTTAGGTGGTTATATCTTAAAAAAATATGTTTATCAAGTCAAATTAAATTTATTTTGGTCTCAATTTCAATACAATACAATTAAATTCACAATATTTATAAATATAGTGCTGCGCTTTGAAGCTTAACTTACAAAATAATTATAGGTATTATATACAGTGGAACCTCGCTTAACGAACATAATCCGTTCCAAAATTTCCGGATTTTTGCTCGTATAGTAAAGCAATTTTCCCCATATAAACTAGTGTAATATATGATAATGCGTTCCATTTTACGAGTCATTTTTCTTACAATTTATTTTGCTCGTTAAGCGAAATGCTCGTTATGCAAAGTTCCACTATACTCATAAATTAACTTAATATACAGACTAAATTATAAGCTTATATATGGTTAATTTAACTGAATAAGTGGAATGATAGGTTGACGATATTTTTGTACACGTTGCTAAATTCCTGGCGGTATTATGCTTAGGATAATTATTTTATAATTTATTTCATAAAGAATACTAATAATATTCACTTAAAGTTTATCGAAAATATTTTGAAAACTTATAATAAATTTAGAATAGCATTCAAAAAGTAACATTAAGTGGGCACCGCTCTCGTTATGCAATCAATTCGAGTATAATTAAAGTTGACATTACAGTTCTGTTCGAATTAAATGAGGCGATTTCAATCTATATAATTTAAATTATAATTAAATAATAACACATAATTGAATTAATATTTCAAGGTGTTGTTAAGTTATTAGGAAGCTAATCCAAATAGCAGTATTGTCTTATTATTTCGCATACAATTCATGGTCTAGTTTTCAAAAATATTTGTGAATGTCACAGGAAGAACTGGAGCTGACAAATGCCGACAGACAGACACAAACGGTTAAGTAACCGGTCGCGGCGAAGGATTTTTGATAGAACTGGTTATTGACTTTTAAGATTTTTTCATGTGTTTTTGCGGATCCCCCACCGCAAAGCACTTTCCAACGGTATAAATACAGTGAGTATTTACACATTAAATCATATTCAGTACGAATACACATCAACAAACATCCGACATGGCATTCAAGGTGCTTGCATCGCAATTGTCTTTTTATTACATTTTTTAGTAATTGACTTCTGTTTTCAGATTGTTGTATTGTGCGCCGCTTTGGCCGTAGCCAGCGCTGGTAACTTGGGATACTCCTACGGAGCCGCCCCATTAGCCTACTCTGCTGGATACACCCATGGAGTTGCCGCCCCATTGGCTTACTCCGCTGGATACGCTCACCAAGCCGCCCCAGTCGCCTATTCCGCTGGATACGCTCACCAAGCTGCCCCATTGGCTTACTCCTCTGGTTACACTCACGGAGTTGCCGCTCCAGTCGCCTATTCCGCTGGATACGCTCACCAAGCCGCCCCAGTTGCCTACTCAGCTGGATACGCTCACCAAGTCGCCCCAGTCGCCTATTCTTCCGCCCCAGCTGTATCCTACTCCAGCATCTCTGCTCCAGTCGCCACCTACGCCAAGACCATCGCCGCCCCAGTAGCTTACTCTGCTGCACCAGTCGCCTATTCCGCCCCTGTAGCTCACGCTTACTCAGCCCCAATCGTAGCTAAGACCATCTCCGCTCCAGTTGCCACATCTTACTCTCACTCCACCGTCACCAAATCCGTAGCTCCAGTTGCCACCTACGCCGCCGCCCCAGTCGCTGCCTACACCAAGACCATCGCCGCCCCAGTAGCCTACTCTACCTACTCCGCCCCAATTGCTCAAACCTACTCCAGCCCGATTGTCGCCAAGACTATCGCCTCTCCCATTGCCTACTCCGCCCCATCTGTTGGTTACGCTAACAACTACGGATGGTAATTTATTACAAAAACATGTAAATAATAAAAAATAAAATCTGTTAAGACAAAACTATAAATCCCAATTTTTATATTCACATTATATTCTTTCAAATAACAAAATCATGATCATTTTCAAGTGCAAGTGGTGTTCAACCAAGCGGATAATCGGTCAATTCGTAATCAATGACTGGAAAACGTAAATGAATATTTATCTCTCTCTCTCTCTCTCTTTGCACCAGATAATAAATCGTAAATAGACCGCAACAATGCGATTCAGTAAAGCCTCTCTTCGCAGTTGTAACCTTGACATTGAGTGAATGAAAACCTTTCTGTTCCTATAAATTGATAGCAATAATTATAGTTACATAATTATGTTGTTACGCAAAATAACAAGTAGTATATAAAAAGTGTTTCAAGTAATGTAAAAATCTGTAAAAACACCTTGATTCAAACTATGATCTAATTTGATTGTTAACAATTTCCAGGGCAGTGATTCCAAATGAAATAATTAATTTTAAATTCAATTTTGTCTTTCGACGATTAAAAGTATTGGAAGCAACCAATGTGATTTAAAGCTAGATGTATTTTTAACAGTAGGTAATGTTGAATAATGAAAAAATCATGTAAGATGTTTTTTTATGATTAAAGAAGTGCTTTTATAAATATTTAAATAAAACTATTTTTTTTGGCTGTAAAGAGTTAATAACCAAAATAATGTATCAAGTATAATATAATATAGGACATAGGAATTTATATAATATGATCACAGTTGACTCGTTTCAAATAAGTTATTCGTGTTTTCAGTTTAGTGTGTCATCGTTCCAAAAGTACATCAGCCATGCAGCGTATGAGCTTTTTGGGTGGGGTTTCCATGACGGATCAGCGGGGTAGACCATCTTCTGCGGAGAGAAAATCGCGTGTGGATCTGCTTGCTTTCAGGAAGGAATTGAGCATAGATGATCACATCATCACTCTGGAAGTACTGCGCGGAAGGTTAAATTATTCATATCATGAAAATGCATGCCTATAACTGGCTTTTCGGTAGATACGAAACAAACTTCGAGCTAGGCTTAACTACGGAACAAGCTGATGAGCTTCGAAATAAGCACGGACCAAATGCCCTTTGTCCGCCAAAGACGAGATCCCGATGGTTGATCTTCGCCGAATACATGTTCGGAGGATTCTCCATCCTGCTGTGGCTCGGTGCAATTTTGAGCACCGCCGGTTGGACTATCTCCAGGTTACAAGATCCTGAGGTTTCCTACGATCAATTATACCTAGGCAAGTATAATACCATTGATTAGTGCACGCACAAATAATAGTATTTCAATTTACATTTTAAAGCGATCGTCTTAGTGGTTATAATAATATCGACTGGTATTTTCGGATTTTACCAAGAGTCAGCAAACACCAAAATTATGGAGAGTTTCAAGAAGATGATTCCAAAATCGGCAAAAGTTTTACGGGGCGGAGAAAAGCTTGAAATACCGACGGAAGATGTGACCGTTGGAGATGTAGTCTTGGTTGAGATCGGATCTTGCGTTCCTGCTGATATCCGTATTGTCGAATCATTCTCCCTGAAAGTGGACAATTCCTCGATAACGGGTGAATCTGAACCGCAGCTACGCGCACCGGACTTTTCCGATCCTAACCCTTTGGAAACACAAAATCTAGCTTTCTATGGTACCAATGTGGTCGAAGGTTATGGAAAGGGCGTCGTAATTGCGATCGGTGATAACACACTTATGGGACACATCGCCGGTCTCACTTCTGGCCTTCAGCCCGACGAGACACCCATGAAGCAGGAGCTGCGCAAATTCGTCACCATCATTACAGCAATTGCCGTAACGATGGGCATCATTTTCTTCATAATGGCAATGTTCCTGGGGTACGGGTTCTTCGATGCATTCATCTACTTTATAGCAATCGTCGTGGCTTGCGTACCCGAAGGTCTACTTGTGACTCTAACAGCATCGCTCACACTAACTGCTAGAAGAATGGCCAAGAAAAACTGTCTCGTCAAGAACTTGGATGCTATAGAAACATTGGGCTCGACGAGTGTTATCTGCTCGGATAAAACTGGAACGTTGACACAGAACCGTATGACCGTCTCGCATATCTACTACGATGAAGACATTGTAGACGTCCTGGTGGAGACTGGCTTTGAAAAACCTATATCGGAAGCTTTCAATCGCTTGTGTCGAGTTGCGATGCTCTGCAGCCGTGCAGAGTTCAAATCCGGAGAAGAGCATTTGAACATTAAAGATAGAAGTATAACTGGAGATGCTAGCGAAAAAGCTGTACTGAAGTTCATGGAAGAGCATATCGGCGGAACCATAGAGTTCAGACGGCAATACGAGAAAATCTACGAAGTACCTTTCAACTCCACTAACAAGTACCAAATCTCAATTCACAGGATGCCGGAGAAAGATCAAATATTGCTGGTAATGAAGGGAGCCCCGGAGAGGATCATAGAGAAGTGTTCAGAGGTGTACGAAAAAGGTGAAACTATAATGATGGATGAGGTGACATCAAAAAAGCTTAAAAAGGCCTTACTAGAATTGGGATATTTGGGTGAACGTGTCTTGGCCTTCGCAGATCTGAACTTGCCCAGCACATACACTGCTGATTATCCATACGATAACGAGCATTCTAACTTTCCAACTGAAAACCTCAGATTCCTCGGATTCATCTCAATGATAGATCCACCGAGACCCGGTGTTCCGGCTGCGGTGGAAAAGTGTAAGTCAGCTGGAATTAGGGTAATTATGGTAACAGGTGATCATCCTGTAACGGCTATGTCTATAGCTAGAAAGGTTGGGATTATATCGAAGGAAAATGAAACTTATTTGGATATTGCTAAGAAGAGGAACATTTCCATGAATAAAGTCACGTCGGAAGAGAGGAAGGATTGTCGTGCGACGGTGATAACTGGAGGAGATCTTCGAGAAATGGACGGATACGAGTTGGATAATGTTATAAAGAATTACGAGGAGATCGTGTTCGCAAGAACCAGTCCGCAACAGAAACTGCAGATCGTCGAAGCTTTTCAAAGAGCGCAAAATATAGTGGCGGTGACGGGAGACGGTGTCAACGATTCTCCGGCCCTCAAGAAAGCCGACATTGGTATAGCCATGGGCATAGCCGGTACCGATGTGTCGAAAGAGGCGGCCGACATTATACTGCTGGACGATAACTTCGCCTCAATCGTGGTCGGCATCGAGGAGGGTCGACTCATTTTCGACAATTTGAAAAAGAGCATTGCCTACATGCTCACGTCGAATGTGCCGGAAGTGATTCCGTTCATGATGTACGTTATCATCAATATTCCGCAGGCGCTGAGCATAATGTCCATCCTTGTGATTGATGTGGGCACGGACCTGATGCCGGGCATCAGTTTGGCCTACGAGCGACCGGAGGCTGATATTATGCACCGAAAACCGAGAAACTTGAAGACCGACAAGTTGGTAAATTGCAAGTTGATCTGCTTCTGCAATTTAAACATAGGCTTGGTGCAAACGTTTGCCGGTTTCTCATGTTACTTCGCCATATACTCCGATTTCGGCTTCACTCCATCCAGACTCATCGGAATTCGCGAGGAATGGGAGGGTCCATCCAACGATTTACTGGACTCCTTCGGCAACGAATGGACGCTCTACGAACGACAAACGCTTGAGCGCAAAGGCGTCACCGCCTTCTTCCTGGCCATCGTATTCACCCAGGTCGCAGATTGCATCATTTGTAAAACGCGGCGGCTTTCCGTTTTCCAACAAGGTAATTAAAAAAAAACATTATTATGATAGAGATTTAATTTTAGCATGAAGAGTGCGCTTCATTACATTACAATTGCTATTAAATTTACAAACATTTTAGGCATGGGTAATTGGATTATGAACACTGGTATAATAGTAGCTCTGTGCATAAGCACTGTGCTCGTCTTTTGCCCTTACGTGAATAAGGTCTTCCAGTTTGAACCTATCCACCTGACCTGCATTATACCAGCGGTGCCCTTTTGCATGATCATCTTACTCTTTGACGAGATTCGCAAGTATTGTATAAGAAAATACCCGAACGGATGGGCGCAACGGGAAACATATTTTTAACACATATCCTTAACTATTAAAAATAAATCTATCTGCGAAAGGTTATTTACGACTTACGGGTCACCCCTTTCTCTAGATCCTCGTAGTATCCGCAAAGAGCCAACTGCTGTATAACGGAATTGGGGAGCTTACACAGCTGTTCCACCCTTCGAAGTCGCGTGGAGATTAACTCCACGTCCTTCACATTACGATCGCATGGCCTGAAACAGAAGAAAGGAAAACAGTAATACTTATAACTTCTTCTTCTTATTATCTCTATAACTCGTATAGAAAAAGCACGATGAAATGCATGCGATCCTCAAATAGTGTTTTTTTTAAAGGCTACATCAACAGGATTAAATATACTGATTATTTCATAAATACAATTTACTGCTTCTTCTAATTACTTATAAACTTGTGCACGAAGAACCGAATATTTCTCTTTCCATATGACATGAAAAGAAAACAGAAATAGATAAAAAAAAAAACTGAATTATATAATTAAATGTTCGCTATATTGCCGAGATCAAAAAAGACCTGGGGTTTCCGGTGGAACAATATTTTTAAACTGGAGCATTATGAAAAAACGTTACCGCATAGTTTCGAATCGGCGAAACTCTGCAGATAAATCTTTTGACTTTAATTATGAACCGGAGATAAATCCAGTTGGCTCGAATAAAAGAATGAAAAATGTATTTCTTTCCAACGTGGGAATCGAAAGTCCTTTGCATAAATATGAATACCATTTCAGGGGGTTTGCTTGAACACCTTTATTCCTTCCTTTATTCCTAGGCAAAAATATAAAGTTTCCTCAACACTATGCAAAATATGAACCGTAAATATTATGTAAAAAAAATCGTTTACAACATGTATGAATTTGACATGATAAAACAATACACGTTAAAACACTAGATTACAAATCATGTACTAACTGGTTCTCCTATTATCTCTCCTATCACGCATAGTATTAATACATAGAGTATTATAACAATTTATGTGTATTTATTGATATTTGCAACTTATTACTAAATTTATTGATCATTGTAGAGATACAAAACTTCAGCTAATATATTGTAAATTGCTCATTGTATCTTAGCTGAACACTAAATTACAAAATGTATATTTTAATATTAGTTAAATTCAATGAAATATTGATTGAAATACAAAGATGAGTGAAAATCCGTCGTACAAAGTAATTTCATTAAATATGCATCGTAGAGTGCACCCTTAACGATGGAAATAAACTAAGTACAGTTACGTTATTGTTGCGCGCCCTTTGCAATTCAAAGCATGGAAGCGTTCCCCTCTTTCCATTTGCTTTCCATCCCTTCTTCCGACATCTTTTTTTTAAGAAGCCTGGCAAATTAATCCAAACGCAGATGTAATAAAACTTTATAATCTATGCCATTTTTCAAAGTGAGAATAGGGTTTCTACAAATAGTATTTAAATGTTTAAATTGTACGGCTCAGGTATATAGGCGGTTCGTCGAAAAAAAAAACCAAAATCGGTTTTTACTCGCCTCAGGTAAATAAAAGATTTCAAGTGCGACGATTTTTTGGTAACCAGTCGTGTTTTATTGATGTGTACGTGAATATTTGGAATTTGTAAGTTTTCATTTTTATACTTAAATGTTCATGATTTTGTGTGTAAAATCACGCTGTTATTTAATGTTACGAGAGCGAAAATGTCAGGAAATATTGTTATTGTTTGGTTTTGCACTATGCAGCGTAATTACAGAGTTTATTAACTCCTTCGTATATTCAATAGAATCGTGCTTTGTATATTTACGAGAATCGCAAACGGAAATTAATAACAAACTGCTGAAGTTTTCGCGATTCTCATTGATTTTGGAAATATTTACTTTCCGGTGGATTCGAACTGAAACTTCGTCCACTAGATAAGATAACATTTTATCTTGCAGCGTGCGGTTTAATCTCGCGGTGTTCGGTCTCAGAAACGTTACTTATTTCAATTGCAAACCAATGTTATTTCCTAGTATTCGATTTATTTATAAAGATTTTCTTTACATTGGTAGTAACGTCATTATTACAGATGCCTACAAATATAATGAATAAAACATTAAAATTACGTATTGGAAAAAAAAGGATTTTTCGATTCATTTTTTTTAGCTAGATTAGATAACGTTTGTAAACTCGCTTGCTTCATGGTGTTGCGCGCGCTTGTGTATTATGTTGTGTTTGGGTATGTGTGTGCGCGATGGATTTATTTTTGGAGAAGGTAAGAACATCTGTGCAGATGGTTGGATGATGATGATTGTGACCTTTGGGGCACGCAACCGTGTCGGTTTCCACACACTCACACTCGTTTAACAGTCGATCGGTTGACATGAAAGAGGGGGCCTCCGCTCTAATCACCCCACCTCACTTCTCTTCCACAGTTCTCTTCTGCGACCCTTTCTCACAGATTATTATTAATAATAATAAATCGTGCACATTTATGAAACCAAATCCACCTCCTCCTCCCAACCCTTAATAAGCGAAGCATACATTCATTACCAATCGATTAATTACGGGTCATGGTTGCCTAGTTCTTCGAGCTAAACCCGGAGAAACCCATGATCTTGGCCATTTCGTCCTGCTCCTCGTCGTGCTGCTCGACCTCCTCGATCTTACGCTTGTTGTCCCGCTTCCTGTCCTTCCGGTACTCCTTCAGCTTTTCCTCCTCCTCGGCCAGTTCGCGGACTCTGCTTTCCAAATCGTACTCCTTTTTCTTCTGTTCCCGCTTCTCCTTATTCAACTCGAAACGTTGTTTAACGGACTCCAAGCTACTGCGCTCCAACTTCATCGACATCCCCAGATTCTTCTGGTGCTTACGACTGTTGATGTGGTCCAGGTAATTAATGGAGTCCTTGACCAAGCAATCGCAGTCCTTGCAGTAGAAGCCACCCGATTGCGAGTCATTGCTCGCGTTGTTGACGACCTTCCGTTGGCCGACGCCGGAGTCAAAGTCAGCTTGTACTCACGCTGCTTTAACAGTTCCCGCTTCACCGGCGGTTCGTTCCTCTTGGCCTTCTGCCCGTTCTCCTCGGCGTCCTCCTCGCGCTTCCTGTCCTCCGCTAGACGTTCGTACGTCTCCCTGTCCCATTTTCGGCGATGATCGTCCGGTCGCAACGACATCCTCAAGACTAACTAAACCAAAACCGATAAACACGCACATTTTTATACTCGCTATCTCTATCTCTCTCTATATATATCTATCTCTCTCTCAAACAAACGCATACACAATCCCACTCCTAACATTCCATTGAACTATGAATTCTTAGAATTTTTAGGTAAAAATGAAACTAATAGGGGGTGCAATATAATACAATTTATTTTAAGGCATTTCTTCAGAATAATACACTTTTTCCCTTCTCGTGTTCCTTGCGAGGGTTGCAGCAAAACCGGAAAAAAATATGAGAGCCGGCTTTGGTGATATATTCTTTTTTATACTTCTATCCCATGCCTTCCCTCGGGACACGATCGATTTTTCTCGTTATAAGGTGTTCTTGCCTTCAGAGGCATCCCTAACGTTGAAACACACACACACACACAATGACACATAGAATAAACCAAAAGAATCCGTCGGATGCCGTGTTACAAATTTAATTATAAATTACTCTGTTGCAGGTAACTATTTTTTTAACCGAAAATGACTTCAGTGAATATTACTTCCTGCAAACCTACAAAGACCAGCACCTTGTATGAAAGGAATCGAAATAAGAATTACAGCATGTACACCTACAAAACCCGGAAAGAGGAGAACGAGGCTAAAGAGAAGAAAAATTCGTTAATTAGATCAGACACGTTTACTGTTTACAAAAAGGAAGATTTATTGACCAGGAGCGACACGTTCGTTATTTCCAAAAGGAATGTCGTGGCGAAGAAAAGTGTTACTTTCGTTATCCAAAAAGAATCATGTGATGAGAATAGTCTGGATTCGATATTGTCAGAATCCAGTAAACTTTTTGAGGACGAAAACGACAATGTGTACAAGAAAATAGGGCACATCCTAGATGATATTAAGAAGGATGTTAGCGTTAGCCTGAAGCGTGTTTATAAACTGATTAAAATTAAATAAAAGTAACGTTAATGAGAGACCTCGATGTTTTTTATGGTAACTCGATTTGGGTCGTTCGACGACGCACAAACTTCCTTTTTGTGCATTTCCTTGCAGCGGGATTTGCATAATCGTGCGCAAGTTTTCCGAAGCCATCGACGATCGTCAAATCGACAAATTTGGATTTGACTAAGTGACTGAAAAGCTGATCAGACGCCCGTTCTGCGGCACAGTGAGCCAACGTCTGGCCGTCGTTGTTCCTGGTGTTAATGTGTTTAAAACCTTCGCATTCAAGGATAAAGTTCATTGCTTGCTGATTATCGTGGCTGGCCGCGATGTGCAGAGGATAATTCCCATGGCATGTTGGTAAACTGAGGGATGCGCCTTTGTAGATGAGGAACTTCAATATATCAAGGTTTTTCTTTGAACAGGATATATGTAGAGCGGTATAGCCGTCCGCGTCCTGAGCATTGACATCGGCTCCCTTGTTCAACAACAACTTAATCATCTCGAGACATCCAAATTCTGCAGCAAGATGCAAGGGAGTAGCACCTTCACAATCTCGAATATTCACATTCAACTGCTTCAAAACCAACCTTCCTACCAAACAATCGTTTTTACTGGATGCTAGATGCAATAGAGATCGTCCTCTTACATCCACCTCCGTGACCTTAGCATTGTATCCGATCAGACATGCAGCAATATCCGCCATTCCCGTGATGATGGCCACCCTCAGCGGAGTTTCCTTGGACGCGTTTGCTAGGTTCACATCAACCCCAAGCGACAGCAAGTACTTGAGGATTTCCGCAGAGTGAATCCTCACAGCGGCATGCACCAAACTCTCTCCAGACGCATCCAGTACATCCGTCTTCGAACCCACCTCCCGCAGCTTTTGCACGAGCCTCAGGTGTCCACCCAAGACAGCTCTGAATAGGGGCGACCTTTGGGCGGTGTCCAACACCTCCACGTCAGCTCCATGCTCCAACAAAACCTTCAACATTTCTATATCACCACAATCGGCGGCCAAATGTAATGCAGTCTCTCCAGCTATATTTGCTGCGTCCACCGACGTCGTTCCTAATGTCAACATTTTCTGCACAAGTTCCACCTTTCCCTTGCTCGTCAATATATGAATTAAAGTGTTTCCAAAATCGTCCACCTCTCTCAAATTAAACAGCATCGGATTGTTCAGCGCGATTCTAAACACATCCCACATCCCATTCTCAATAACCTCCGCTATACGCATCTCTGTACCGAAATATCAATCTCGCTTTACTAGCTTTGTTACCGTTGATAGCGCGTATTTATATCCCCATCGCAGATAATAGAAACATTTGATAAAGATAATCTATTGTATGTTAAATTTACTTAATTGCTAGTGAGGGCGTTTAATGATAAACCGTTTAAAATGTATAGTACATAATTTCATAATTTTCATTAAATTTATTTTCATATTATTTATTCATATTATTAATTATGTGTACAATTTATTTGAATGTATTGAAGTAATTTGCTGAAGATTCACTTCAATAAATATAAGTCAAATTAATTCATGATATAAAAAGAACAAGAGCTTCGATGAAGTATCGTGCGCATAGTAAAGTGCCATAAGCAATTCAATTCTGGGTTTTACAGCAAAGTTGTACAATGCCGACATTGATAAGTTCTAAAAAAAAATATTCCGGATATTGAATGAAATAGTAAGTTAACTGGTCCTTTGCATGCGATGCAATAGGAAGCCGCAGGCATAAGCGACTGGGATTATTCGCGAAGAAGGTGAACGTGCAGCCGCACGATCCGATGGGATTTGGAAACGGCCTGTAAGAAATGTTGATTTGTTTAAGAGAGTTTCCGATTCTTACCTCTTGTCGATGGCGGAGATCCACTCCATGGCTTCGAAGTGTGTCTCGCCTTCTAAATTTCAAATTGTATGGAAACTTGTGTCGTTTTGGGCTCGTAGTGTTGCACACTATTCGCGATTTCTGTATAGGTGGCTCGTCGGAAACCGGAAATGCATGTTGTACCGGTGCGGCCCCCGCAGCGACGGAGCAACAACTGGCCGCAACTGCTCCGCCGCCTCCGCCGCGACATTGCGCACATTTACCTGTCCACATACCTTCTTCTTCCTCGGGCCTCTCTTCACGTTCCAATCATGATATGAACAATAAAGGCCATCTGCAGCCATCTGGAATATGGAACATACATTTGCAATTATTAGCAAACGACAAATACAACTAAAAACAGTATTATTGAAACCATGACAACAGCAACAATGAAAACAATTGAAATTATACTAATCACCTTCAAATGTTCAAAGCACAAGGAAGGTTTTTAATAAATCTTCGGATTATGGTTATTGACGTAGAAACCGGAAAAATAATTGAATTTAAACTTGAGGCGCTCAAATCGAGATTCGTACGAATCGAAGCCGTTGGAGGGCGCGCTCATCCCTACTTCAACGTCATATATTCAATATAAACAAAGTTACTAATTGTGCATAAGCATAATAATCGCAATGAGTTGATTACAGTTTTATTGTTGCAAATGTGAAAGTTGAAAGTTGGTTATAGATTTTGAGCAGTTACCGTATCCTGGTCGCACGTCGAAGAGTCGTTCAGTTGCGTACAGTGTCATTAAAGTCCTGTAAATGTCAAAGATGAAGATGGCCGATGGATCGACGATTTTGAGAAGGAATAGACCAGGAACAAAAGTTAAGGTATACTATGCTTATTGATTAATGATTTTAAAAGCATTTACAAATAATTCACACAATTTGGGATTTCATGAAATAGTCCTTTAACTCATTTACACCAGAAACCCCACAGACCTCCCCAACCCTACATACTCTTTAGATGTATATAAATATGTGATTTTTTACTTTAAGGATTTTTGTCGCTGGCCTGATGAAGCCTTTGAAGAAATGGATAGTACACTGGCTGTACAGCAGTACATCCAACAGTTGATCCGCAAAGACCCAGCCAATATTGATCTGATCTTGAAAATGCCAGATGCCCAGGACGAGGGTGTCTGGAAGTATGAGCATCTGAGGTAAACATAAACAGTTGATTAATCTATCATATGTGGTGTAATAAGTTTTGTTTTTAAGGCAATTTTGCATGGAACTGAATGGACTGGCAGTGAGGCTCCAGGGCGAATGCCAACCAGAGACTTGCAATCAAATGACAGCAACAGAACAGTGGATATTCCTTTGTGCAGCTCACAAAACTCCCAAGGAATGTCCAGCCATAGACTACACTAGGCACACACTCGATGGTGCTGCTTGTTTACTCAATAGTAACAAATACTTCCCAAGCAGGTGAGACAAGTGACTATTAATTGTATTATATTGGTAATGATTAATGTTGCATTGCAGGGTTAGCATAAAGGAGTCTTCTGTGGCCAAGCTGGGTTCTGTCTGCAGAAGGGTGTACAGAATCTTTTCACACGCCTACTATCATCACCGCACCATCTTCGATGAGTTCGAGAACGAGACGTACCTATGCAGACGGTTCACTCATTTTGTGACTAAATATAATCTCATGTCAAAGGACAATCTTATTGTGCCAATACTGGAAGATGAAAATGTCCCGGGCGAGTCAGAAGCTTAAACTATTTTTAAAAAGACAGTGTTTTTTTTTCTTATTATTTATATATACATAAACAAAAACTGAAAATAAGACGATTTTCTTTGAGGCTTATGTTTCAACTGATTAACAAACAAAATTTGCTAATTTTTACACCTACTTAGTATTACTTGATTACACAATAATTAGTTACATATTAATCCAAAAAAGTGTGTAAAATAAAAACTAACGTTATTAAAGTTTTAATCCTTGCTAGGTCTTAGTACATGTATATATTTACAATTTGCGCATAGGTTGGTAAATTATTATCAATTATCTTTATAATTTAAAGTTACATAAAAATGTATATGCTATACTCTTCATTTATTATGAATAATAAATTAATTTCTAGTATGATTTAAAAGGAATAAGAAAGTCAAACCATATACATTTAAATTATAATAATCACTATTATAAAATCTACTTTGGTGCATTATTGGTATGTTTCCTTTTTTTCTGTTTGTAGTTGCCTTGCTTTTTACTGTTTTCTTTTGATGGTTCATATGATATTTTACTATTTGGTGCTTGATATCTGAAAATTTGAAACAGTCAAAAAAACATAACATTACACAATAATTCAATGCATTTACCCAACAGCCTTGCAGTCTAATGTTTCTGTCGATAACAAAATATGTATCATTGGGAGCTTTCGCTTAACAACCAGCTGATCCAATTCAGGTGTCACAGGGTCCCAATATTCTTCAACTCTGAAATAAACATAGATTAGTTCGAAAAGAATATATTAGCTCAAATGATCATTTACAAACGGTATGAAATTGAATTGACCTGGTACAATGAATTGCCACATTCCCGTTTCATGATCTCCGCACATGTGATGGCTTTACCAACAGATTGTCCGAAGCCTGTCCATACCACATGCTTTGCATTTGGCAGTTCACCCAAGGCATGAGTTAATAAATTTCTTATTTTACTGCCACCTCGAACCTGCAGAATAATATCTTATTACATACAATTCCATAAATTATGTTTAATACTTACATGCATCCACAGAAAATTGTCTGGCAAATTTTGAATGCCTATCCTATTCTTTTCCAAAGGTTCTTCAACATTTTTGCCTTTTTTATAGTTATCCATTTTAGCTATAGGTTACAACTGATGCTGACCAAAACTAACATCAGGGAGACCAAAGCTTATGAAACATCTGTTGTATGTCCTAACATCGATGTGATAATTGTTGCATACATTTCGATATCGTTTCTGGACTCTTTATATTTTATATTTGCTGTTGGCAGCACTTAAATAAATATATTTTAGTACTTGAGGCCAGTTAAGGCGCATATACAATTTGTGACTGAGTTCCCCCAATTCAATACCTTTCATATTTATCTGTTTATAATCCTGGAACATATAAGAATAATCCGCAGTTCAATTTTATAGTTTGTGTCGTCGTGATCGTTATTAACAATTAGTTTATCTTTCAAGAGGTAATTCTACATATAGTTTCCTAATTTACATACTCATTTTATCACTTCAATATTTATTATCGTGTACATTGTTATCGCTATTTCTCTAATCGCAAACATTGTGAAAAATGTATTCGTGCAAATGGCGTATGATGCAATCATTAATTATATAAAAATTGTTGTTTGTACATTTTTTAGGAACAAAGGACAAAATGAATAAAGATGATGATGCGAAGTCCAATATGAAGCCTACGGATGTGCTTAAATCGGACATAAATATATTGTTGTTAGGCGTTACCGGCGTTGGAAAATCCACATTCATCAACTCATTCGCTAATTATATACAGTATCAAGACATCGAGACTGCAACCAAATCGAAGCTGCTCTGTCTGATCCCAAGCAAAGTCAGCATCACTGATATCAATTTTAAAGAACACAACATCACTGTTGGCGATGACAAGAACGAGGATAAGGAATTTGGCAACTCTTCGACGCAAGGTAAATTACTTTCTTATTCAATCTTATAAGATTTCTTATTCAATATTGAATGTTTTTGTTCATTTTATCAAATTAATTGGTTTTTATTTTTTATTAACAATAATATAAGAAATGTTGATTAGAGATTAATAAGTCTTATTTATTTTTACATATTTTATAATTATTATGTATATTCATTAGGTCTGTAATTTCCTCTTAATTATTACATTGTGTTTGTCGCCTATCTGTGCAAGGTTACTTGTGCGGGATTAATTTATGGAAAATTTCAACACAATGATCCTCGGGCTTATTGATAGAAACAATAGATTGATTAGTTTGGCAGACATTGGTCTAATTCAGCGGTTTCCAAACTGTATGCTACTA